TAAAAACACTCTGAACAGTACTTAGATTAAACTGTTGTAAAATGATAAGGTGTTTGAACATCTCTTTTTATTGTTTATTTAAGCCAATGTATGTTTTTTAAGTGAATTAAACGTCTTATAAAATGAAACAAAATTTTATGAGATTTCAAATTAAAAACAATAATATTAGTGATGTGACATCTGTACCTCGTATATATATGGGTATACAGGAGATAGGTGTTACAAAGGGTGTTACAGTATAGCCTAGAGATATCTACAAATGGCTTAAACATTTGTTTGTATTTAAGGCCATTTGATAGAATTCTCAAATGTCTAGCTTTTGTATAGAGATCAAAGCCTGCAACTAAATCATTTCCTGGGAGATGTGATCCCAATATTGTAGTTGTAATAGAACATCTTGGAAGAATTGAATAATGATGGGCTTACTAATAAGGTGAGTTGTAAAAGTTTGATCTGCCGCTGAGTTGAAATATCTAGTATGTGGCCTCCACCATTCTAGAGGGAGAATATTTTGGTTTATGATAGTTTTTGTTACTCCAGTATCAATGAAGGCAATAGCTGAAATTGGCTTTATATTTTCCTAAATAAACGAAGACTGAAATTTGTGGAGCAAGAACAGTCAATGTCATTGATGAACTTATCTTATTCTAAAACATATAGATTCCTTCTTCTTCAGATGACCATTTTGTTTCTGACTCAGTTTATTCAATATTCATCGTTTGAATTGCAAACAGAAATTGGCCTGTAGGTTCATCTTCTATAGAGAAAAGAGATTCAACATCATCATCTTACTTGATTTTTAACCCTATTTTCTTTTGAATCTGATGTATCATCTTTGAACCTTTCTTGTTCTTAGGATAATTCTTTACAAAATGTCTTTTTTGTCCAAAAAATAACACCTGGATAACTTTATCCATGTGGCTTTTTTTCTTCCTTAAATATCTCCATTTTCTTCTTCTTCTTCTTGGGAAAGATGGCGATTTATAAGTTCCTTTTTTGGATCCTCTGTAGAACTTCTTCTTTTTCTTTGTGTTGCAATGGCACTTTTGTTCCTTCTTGTATTTGATGGTCAATCCTTATTCTTTGCATGCTTTATCCATTTCTCTACTTCCAGACATATTATCTTTGGAGATTTTCTTTGTCATAATTTCTTCAAGAGCAATATAAGTTTCTTGTTGGATTTCTTCTACAGCCAATTGTAGAATGTCTCTTCTTTGTTGTTGTAGGTGTCTGTTGACTGTATTCTGTAAAAGCTCTGGAATTGAAGCTAAAATAACTTGTTTCATGCTCTGGCCTACTCCCAGTAAAAGATCTTTGTCATGACATTAAAATGCCTCTCTAAATCTTTCTTCTCAAAAGAGAAACATCTTCTTGTGAAGAATTCTTTTCTCTTATGGGTTTTTTGCATCATCAAGATTTCCAAGAAAACAACTATGCATTAGTCGTATGACTGCTATAAAATCCTATTGAACTAGAAATTGCATATGGTATCCTGAGGAAAGAGTAATCCACAAGTAAGTAAACCAGTAAGACTAGAGACAAATTCAATGAGAATATCATAATTACTTTCTTTTGTCAACTTTTGTGTTTCCATCCATGACTGGAATTCATTTAATCTTTAGGGTCATTTTGATACAAGAAGATCTTTAAGGTTGAAAGTATATTTTCCACCATTGATTGGAAAAGTCTGTGATTGCCTTGCTGTTGAAGTTTCTTCCATATGATCTAAATCATAACCAGACCCTTATGTCTTAACTCATGTTCGATGAGTTGTTGTCATAATCAAGTCTTCTGAAGAAGTATGTGATTCTTTTGAAGATTCATAATCAGAAGTCTCCTATTGGTTTTCTTGTATTCTCTGAGGAAAGAGGTCATTGGATTCTTCTGGTCTTAAGGCTCTTGATCATTTTAGGGAGTGAGGCAGATCATCTTCTTGACTTGCTCTCTTCTCTTTCTCTTTTTCTCTTTTTTTCTCAGTTTCTTGCTTCTTTATCTGTTGATAAAGCTCATATGTTGATGGTTTTCTTATTTCTGCAGGTAGTGAAGGAAATATCAACCCTTGTGAATGTTTATCTTCATTTCTAAAAGAAGAAAATATGGATTGTCGAGGTTCTGGAGTGGATCTTCTTAAAGACGAAAAAAGTTATTTTCCTTCAAGTGGTGGAGGAACTTGTCCTGTTTCTTCAAGCACTTTTATCTATTGCTTCAGTTTTTCAATTTCCTTTTCCTTTTGTTCTAAATAGGAAAAAAACTTGTCCTGGTGTTGTAGTTTCTTTTGCGACTTGTTGTAATCTTTTATGGAGAAAAACAATATCTTCATTGGCAATTTTGGTCTTAGTATCTACTTTAGAGTCCACCTGAGTGATCTTAGCATCCATCTGGATAGTTTTGGAGTCAATTCTCTTTAAAGCAGTATTCTGGACAAGAGCATTATTTGTCTTTCAATTGAGAGTTACTTCTGATGCACTGCTTTTCTCTCTTAAGTAATCTCCTTGAAGTTGCATTGGGATTTTTGGAGCATGTTTGTATTCCTTTTCAGTAAATTCCTCAAGAGGAATAAACTCTTTATCATAAGAGGGATTTGAGGGTTGGAACATGTATACATCATGAATTGGTTGATTTTGTGGTTGAGGTTTTGTTTCAGGATATTTTCGAACCCGTTTCTAGATTTTCTTGTAACATGGTTGGGTTAGTTTTTCTGGGTTTATTTTAGCTACTGGTGATGGTAGAGGAGATGCAGTAGGTGGAATATCTTGTGAGAAAATATCAAGTTGTTTATTTGTTGGGGTTTTTGAAGAATAATTCAAAAGGAAGATAAATTTTTTATTATCTCCTCCAAAAGGCCCAACAGAAGATCTCCTTCCATGTATCTTTTGTAAAGACTTGAATGTGTAGGCCTTTTTTTCCAGCTTTGTGAGGATAATAAGCTGTGTGATGTCTTCCTGAAAATGATGAATAAACTTCGGATAAACGCTGTCGTTTAGGCGGTTTACTGTTTGATAAAATATCATAAATTTATAAAAACAACCCAAAACTCCTCGGCAAGTAAAACAATAATGGCGTCTTTGGTGTCCCTTCAAAACACTGGAAATTCCATTAGCTTCTCGTACCACTTGAAATCTCCAATCACTACCAAGCACTCTTTCGCTGTCAACAACAAAATAAAATTCTATTTTTCTCAAAATCCAATCAAACTCTTCCGTTAATGCACCTATGCTGCATCCGATAACACCAAAAGCAACGGCTCTGCCAGGACTTATCGCCGCCATGGTGTCATTGCTCCCCGCCGAACTACAAAAAATGGGCCTAGCCCTCTTAAATTCAACACTGAAAATCGAAACGAAAACCACCCGCCGCCTGAAATCCCGACATTTCAAAGTATTCCCGTGGATTTTATGAAGTTATGCAAAGAAGGTAAGGTTAAGGAAGCTTTAGATTATATGGGTCAAGCCGTTTTGGCGGATTATAATGATTTCGAGGCTTTACTTGATACTTGTGCGGATATGGGTTCGCTTGAATTATCCAAAAGAGTTAATGACTTCTTGAGAAGATCGAGGTTTGCGGATGATATCGAATTGAACAATAAATTGATAGGTGTTTACGGGAAATGTTCTAGTATGAGAGATGCTCGCAGGGTATTTGATAAAATGCGTGAGCGGGATTTGGCCTCTTGGAAGCTGATGATAAATGGGTATGCGGTGAATGGAAGTGGAGATGATGGACTGTTGCTGTTTGAAGAAATGAGAAATGGTGGTTTTCAGCCCGACAACGAGACTTTTCTGGCTGTTTTATCAGCCTGTGCTAGTGCAGGCAATACCGAGGACGGAGTAAAGTACTTTGAATTGATGAAGAATGAATATAAAGTTGCCCTGGGGATTGAACATTATATTGGGATTATCGATGTTTTCGGGAGATCTGGGTATTTGAATGAGGTTGTGGAGTTTATTGAGAACATGACGATTGAACCGACAGTGGAGATTTGGCAGGCAATTCAGGATTTCGCACGAATTCATGGAGATATTGACCTTGAAGATCATGTTGAGGAGTTGTTGCTTGAATTTGATCCTTCCATAAGCAGTGAGAATGAGCTCGGAGCGCCACCGAAGAAGAAACTTTTTATGATTAACATGATTGAGGAGAAGAATAGGGTAACAGAATATAGGTGTATGAACCCTTTCAAGGGAGAAGCAAATGAGAAGTTCAAAGGTTTGAATGGGCAGATGAGGGAAGCAGAGTATGTGCCTGATACAAGGTATGTGCTTCACGACATCGATGAAGAGGCAAAGGAACAGGCCTTGCAATACCATAGTGAGCGATTGGCGATTGCCTATGGTCTTATTAGTACTCCATGAAGGACACCTCTTAGGATCATTAAGAATCTGAGGATTTGTGGAGACTGCCACAATGCAATCAAAATCATGTCAGATTGTTGGACGAGAGTTGATTGTGAGGGACAACAAACGATTTCATCATTTCAAGGATGGTAAATGCTCTTGCAGTGATTACTGGAAAAACCGTAGAAAACCCTTGAATCGATTTTGTATTTATTGTTAACATCTAAACATCCATTCAATGAAATCTAAATTCAATAGCAACATTTTGTGATTGAAATATTTGTTCTCATCAAACAAGTTTTTGCTTCTATGCCCCAATTAATACGATTGTTGAACCCATGGCGACTAGTATACGTACATGCATACATATATACACGGCGTTTGCTTCTGATATAAAAATATATGTCTCAGTCCGTCAAAACCTAGGTCAGTTCTATTGTAGGTAGTCATAAATGAATCATGAATGCATGTTGAACCCATTGTAACTAGCCTACATAAATGCATACATGAACATTTGCTTCAGTAAACTGAGACAAGTACAGGACACTGATATTGATTTCTGAATAGTAGAAAGCAGCAGTATATCCTTTATTGAATTGATACTTCCAAATTATGTACAGTGTTTAGAAATCTAATCGTGAAACACTTAATTACCCCTTATGCAAGCTCCACCTCTTGCAAAATTTATCCGGTGGGGGAATGGAACCTATAGAAGCTCTAATTTTCCAGCTTAAATGAATTGAATGTACAGGTTTAGATGGCCTGATTTGGTCAGTTATAACATAAGAATTATAAAAGTGAAGCAAAGCTCCTTGCTGGACAATAAAAGAAACAATGAGATCGAATATTATTCATTATCATGTATGGATAGATGATGTTTGGGTAATACTTTTATTTGTTACCACTTCTATCACAGCTTCATCATGGGATGGAACTCTCAGGCTTGATTTCATGATGTCATAAACTGTAAAACCAATTGCCACAGATGGTACAACCTGTACAAGACACAAAATTATCAATAAAAAGCTCGCAAACACAAAGTTAACTTATTCTAACTCTTCATTTTTCTTCAACTATTCATGTCTAACATTCAGGTTCTGAACATGGGTAGAGAATATGACCTTCAAGAACTCATCAGATACACAAAAAACAGCATTAAAAAATGAATATATCCGAGTCGAACACATACCCGTATCCAACAGATATAAGTCCGAGAACATAGACGGGAAAGGGAATTTTCCTACCTTGAGGTAGTTGATGCTCAGCCCTGAAAACAATTGCTTCCACCCTTGATTTTTAGCAATCATAACAAGTGTTTCCATTGCTCCTTTCAACTCAGGGCTGTTGGATGCCAAGACCCTTTGAACCTAACGACCAACAATTCTCATTATTATTACATTAAAATTCAAGGTTTGATCACTTCTCATTATGAATTTGGATTCAAAAGAGTTTAAATACCTGCATTTGCCTCCTCACCACATCAAGAGGATATGTGAAAGTTTGTCCCAACAACCCAGCCACAGACCCACACACTAAATTCACCATTATATTTTTCTTCTGATCATCCGGGACATGGCGTTTCATCTCCTCATAAAAGTAAAACTTCAACCCCGCATAAGGAAAGATCCCATAAAGCGATGGCGTTTCGAAAAGAATCCCACATATTAATATGAAAATCCCAACAAGAATCGAACCACCAAAACACGAGTTAAAATGCAGCATCACTAGTGTTGAAACACGTACCAACACCACGATAGAGACCTCTGAGCCCTGACCCTTTGTAAGTCTTTGAAAAACAATAAAGAATTCCATTATAAACTTGTTCTGCGTTAACTACACCTTTCACATTAATCTTTGGTGGACCAACAACCTGCATTAACCAGTGTAACAGAAAGATATCAGAATATGTAGCACAGAGGAAAGATGCTGAATTACACCAGCTTTATGTTCAACTGCTTACCTGATAAGCTAACTTAGTCCGAACCAAATCGAGAGGATAAGTGAAAAGCACAGCAGTTCCACCAGCAATTGTGATGTCGGGAAAACTATTGATGATCCATCTTCGGTATTGTTCATAGGCCATGTAATGAAGTGCAGCGTACGGAACTATTCGAGCGACACTAGCACCATTTCCTCTACAGACATCCACCATAAACTAAGTAAGCAATTGAAGTTAAGAAACTTTCAGAACCAACTCTACGTTAAAGTATAATGAATTGGATATTACCCACCTGTAAAAACCCATTACTCCTTCATTCTTTGCAATCTTTTCGAATGATCCAAAAAGTCCTACGCTGTGAAATTCTGCTCTTCTCGTCTGAAACAGATTACTGTATCAATTCCCTTTTTCTATTGCAAGTTCAACCTTCGCAAATTCAAGCCATTCCCAAATATTGTATAAGATCAAATTATCAACATTGATAGGGTTTCAAAACGTTAAATCTACTCATTTTCATCAGCAATTGATGTTCAAGATTATCAGGGAAAAAAGACCATCAGGGAAGTTCATCGAATTTATAGCTCAAACCAAGTCATTTTAAACTTGATAAACAGCCGTGGATGCAAACCCATCAGGGAAAATGAATCAAAAAGAAAAAATCATAGCCGAGAAACAAGAAATCAACAAATCAAGTGAAGTTTCAAAGTTTACCTGAAACAAAATCTTGACACGCTCAAGTGGAGCAACGGCGGTCTTTGCGAACCCTCCAGCAACACCGCCAGAAACCAATTCCTTCGCAAACAAAGGCATGGATTCTATGATCCCATCAATGAACATACTCATCTCTCTTTCTTCTTCCTTCTTTTCCATTTCAGCAAACACCTTCAAGAACCGGAAATATGGAGAGAAAATAGAGATTTCTGGTACAAAGAACGGTACAGGAGGGGAACAAATACCAGAATAAGACCAGAACAGACAAGTTTCTCTCTGTTGGGGTCAGATTGGGTCGGGAAATTAGGCGGTTATTATATGTTTGGGACAAGTGACGAGTCCGAGAATTACACGCGTTCTTCCATGGTGGATTCCTGTAAGAGACGAGAAAGGAAAGGTTAATTGGTTGACGAGTTTAGTGGACCTGAACTCAATTCCATATTATATACTTTTGCTGATCAAGAATCTTCTAATGTCAGCCGTTCGATCACTGACTTTTTCTTTTATACTCCAAGAATACCCTTTTTCTTAGGGTCTCGAAATCAATAAATTCTAGGGAACCAAACAAAATTTGGGTTAAGACTTTGTCGTGGGAATATTGAATACTCAAAAGAAACCGTTCAAAGTTGGCTCCTGCACGCCGCATCTGCCGTCGTTGTACGGAAAATTCTGTTGTGCGGCAGTTAAAAAACGGTTAAAAAATGATGTGATTAGTTAAATAAATAACCAATTAAAATATAGATCGGTTATGTTATATCATTTAATAAGAAATATTATCAAATACAATAACATAATAGGTAACGCTTATATAATGTAATAAGTAGTGCTTATATAATAAAATATGTTAATTATTTAATTTGTTATTATAACATATTAGGTAAACGCCTAAAATGTTATCAATGATAACATAATCGGTTATTTATTGGAAACATTATCAAGAATAATAACATATTAGGTAGCGCTTATATAACATAATAAGTAGCACTTATATAACATAATAAGTAACGCTTATATAATAAAATAGGTTAATTATTTAATTTGTTATTACAACATATTAGGTAAACACCTAAAATGTTACCAATGATAACATAACCGGTTAATTACTAGAAACATTATCAAGCACAATAACATATTAGGTAGTGCTTATATAACGTAATAGGTAGAGCTTATATAATAAAATAGGTTAATTACTTAATTTGTTATTGCAACATATTAGGTAAACGCTTAAAATGTTACCAATGATAACATAATCGGTTAATTATTTGAAACAATATTAAACATAATAACATATTATGTAGCGTTTATGTAACAAAATAGGTAACTACTTAATTTGTTATCATTAATGATAAAATTACCTTAGGAATAAATGTTAACAAAATTTAAACTACCTATTACATTAAAATACCTACTGGTTTTTTAAGGTTGTTAATAATGTAAACGGTAAAAAAAAGGCGCTACCTATTATATTAAAATACCTATCGATTTTTTTGAAAGTTGTTAATAATGTAAACGGTAAAAAAATAGGCGTTACCTATTACATTAAAATAGCTACCAGTTTTTTTAAGGTTGCTAATAATGTAAACAGTAAAAAAAATAGGCGCTACCTATTACATTTAACTACCTACCGGATATGTTGAAAGTATTGATTCTATTTAAATAAGTATCAACACTTTTGGAATTTAAAAAAAAACAGTAATAGCGCCTATAAAATATAGATACTTTATAAAAATGTATCAATACTTTTCAATATAGCAGGTGAAAATATGACAAAACCAGTTTTATTATGACAAAACCGGTAAAGAACTACCTGATATGTTGAAAATATCAATACTTTATAAAAATGTATCGATATTTTACAACATAACAGGTAAAAATATGACAAAACCAGTTTCATTAAGACAAAACCGATAAAAAGCTACTTAATATGTTAAAAGTTTCGATACTTTATAAAAATGTATCGATACTTTACAATATAACAGGTAAAAATATGACAAAATCAATTTCATTATAACAAAACCGGTAAAGAGCTACCTGATATGTTGAAAGTATTGATCCTTTTTATAAAAATGTATCGATATTTTATAATATAACAGGTAAAAACATGACAAAACCAGTTTCATTATGATAAAATCGGTAAAGAGCTACCTGATATGTTGAAAGTATAGAATTTTTTTGTATATGTATCGATACTTTATTGAAAGTTATGTAATTTATGTTTCAAAAAATTTTAATAGTGCTTCATGTTTTTCACCTACAATATTAATTTAATAATTTCATTTATACAAAAAATTATTTGATTGTTTATATATTTTATAAAATATTATTTAGAATTTAAATTTAACAATTTTAACCAAATATAATAATAAATATGTATATATATGTTTATTATTTTTAATTTAATAATAATATATATCGTAACATAAAAATAAATCATTAGACGTGTATAATTGCTAAATTAATATCTTAAAACCCACTCAAAAGATAACCTTAAATTAATATTTTCTACAGTGAAATAAGTATGGACACTTATATATATGTATCAATACTTACCGATAACCAAAGTTTACCGGTTACCAAATTTTTTAATAGTTTTTTATGTTTTCTACCTAAAACATTATTAGTCGTTAACATAACAAGTAGCGCTAAACATAATTTATTAAATATCTTTTAATATATCCGATAACGTTACATATTTTTATGCTTTTCATGAAACAACCCCTCGTTGTATCCTACTAATCATCCAGACTTATTATATCGGTGAAACTCAAAAAGGATGAAGGGTAGGCATTGGATAATTAAGCTGATGTTGATGACCCCATAATATTTAACTAAGTTAATTGATTAAAGTCATATATATTTGACTAAATTAAATTTTATTTTGTAATATGTGGCTGAAAATTTTAGTCAAAAACAATTAATTTTTCCAAAGACTTGTGTGCACATATAAATTCATTGAGAACTGAAGGCTGAAGATGAAGGTGTTGTTGTTTGGACTAAGGATGGACATGAGTCGGGTTTGGGTTAGTTTTCGGCCAATTAGATCCGATCCAAAAATTTTACATCTTTCACCCAACCCGACTCAAAGAATATACACCCTTCTTTCGACCCGACCCGAAATTTTGAGATAAAATCCGAACCTAATCCAACCCGACCCGAAATAATAAAAAATATTATTTTTATTCAATAAAAACAGTGATTTAATTGAAAAAATAATAATATACAGATGGGTATTATTATAATTATTTCTAAATATATAAGATAAAATTATATTTTTTGAGTCGGGTCGGGTCGGATATTTTCACCATACCCAACCCAAACATCACCTTTAAAAAACCCAACTTGACCCGACCCGAACCGAATCCGAAATTTTTATAAAAATCCAACCTGATCGGGTCAGAACCCGTTGGGTTTAGATCTCATACCCATCCCTAGTTTGGACTACTTTGCATGGTTTTGTGCAGGTGAGATAATGGGAAGGTGGTTTACATTCACTTGTTATTATGGTAATAAATTATCAACTTTAGTTTATTTTAATATTTAAACTTTTATTTTTTTAAAAATAATAATCAACGTTTAGTTTTTGCTTCATTTTAGTACGTTACCGTTAAAAACTTAATGGACGGGATGACGTAACATAGCTTCGGTAGATGGATGACCAATCCAAACGATGGACCACGAGAGAATTGCGAGTCGACCAACATAGTCCAGTTTCAGGCCCATCGGATGGTGGACCATGGAGATCAAATGATGAAAAAATCTAAGAGACCATTGTCGATTTGGGGAGATTGAGGTGTTTCTAGGTGAAACGGAGTGCGGAATATTGTTCAGGGTCAAAAAGGTGTGGGCTGAAAGTTTGGGCTTCATTGGCCGATGGTGTGACGGCTAACGATTATAGACACGATAATTAGCGAGTTCATCCGTCAAGTTTTTAACGATAGGTGCTAAAATAAAATAAAAACTAAACGTTAAGTGTAATTTTAAAAATGAAAGTATAAATATTAAAACATATCAAAAATGATAATTTAAGGACTAAAAGCATAATTTACCCTTAATCTAATTGCAGCCATTTTAGATGCACTTTTCATGAAATTTTTAAGTGGATAAATAAAAAAACTAACTAAAAGTACAATGATAAAATAGGAATTAGAAAAAACTAATTAACTCTAATATGTAAAGTATAAAAAAATGTCCTTTTATAAAAATAATAAAGAAATGAAACTTTCTACTAATAATAATTTATTCCAATCATTCCCGAAATAGGATTCTCAGATGAGGAAGACAATCAACCTCCTATCGGTGATTAGTGAAATGGGGAAATCCAAATAACTCTGTAACATATAATTTAAGAAAATATAAGAGAACAAAAATAAACAGTTTAATCAAACAACTAAATATATTTACTCTACAAGAACTAATGGTTAGAACAACTGTTGATGAATTTTTTTTATGGATTACACTAAAATGTATATCTATTTTTAATCAAACAATTTTGACTTCAAAAAATTGACTTCCTTAAAATGTATGTACACATTTAATTAATAAATATAAGATAATAAGGCTTCAAAATTCCACATAAGATTATGAATATAGAAGTTGCATTATCATAATATAATATAAATTATTAAATTTGTAAATACTTTAAAATATGATGGATTTATATTTTCAATTATGGTATATTACAATGTTTTTGTAATCGTAAATTGTATGCATAAATAGTAAGTAAGATAAAAGTAAATTAGAGGTTATTAAACTACATTAAAATAATTATTTTAGTTATAATATTTTTCAAAATTATAAAATTATCATCAATTCTATCAATATTTCATAAAATAGTTATTGAACTTTATCTAATTATTACAAAATGGTCAACAAATTTATCATAACATTCAATGACCAATTTAAAATAATTTGATAAATATAATAATTATTTTTTAAAATTCAAGGATCAAAAAGATGATTTGATTAACATTCAATGACCAGTGGTGTACTTTATCCAATGTTATATAGGTGCCAACGGAGCTCCCAATTGTTTAGGAACGGTGTCGAAGTAATTTCGAAGCGCGCACCTGAAAGGGACAATTTTTTACGAAAACGTGTAGCACAACGGAAAGAAGAAGAAAAGGCTTATTATATGGGACGACCAAACGGCGATAGAACGTTGGGCAGTGCAGTGCGTTTCGTAAAAACATTTGCCGTCGTCATTCTCTTCCTTGTAGTATCGGTCGTGTCTGCTACCAATAATGATTTCCAGGTATAATACTATCCACAAAACTCCATCTCTATCTTTTTCCAATTAATCTGAGAACTATTCCAATGATCAATCAGTCAATCCTTATTTTTAGATTTTTTAAAATATTGTTATACTCCTAAATAATAATAGTCGTAACAACAAATTAAAAAAAATTACACA